TTCCGCAACCCCCTGCACCCTAGTGGCTTCACGCCTTGCTTGGGGCACAATGCTTAAAAAAAAAAAAAAAAAATTTCAATAGAAAGAAAATGTTAAAACCCAGCTGCTAATCTAGTACTATGATTACATTCATGAAGTCGAGTGTCTCAAAGATTTCAAAGAAATATTTCAAAGAAAGATTTCTCTTTCTGATTCTTTTATCAGAAAATGTCCTCACTCGGTGGTCATGTTTTCTCTACAGAATTTCTAAGCCTTCATTTGTTGAACCAAATCCCTGTAGATACAAATTTCTTATTCATATGCTACTGAATCGTCCATTGCCATAAAAGAAGATTAATATTGTACAGCAGCTCAGCACTCGTTTTTATGACTTTCTTTGGCTTTTGGAAGATATTTTCGATGTTCCATTGCTCCTCCGGATTTTGGTGTCACATTTTGCAAAATAGCTAGATTTAAATGTTTGATTTTGATGTCGCAAGTTTGTAGTTAGTGTCTTGGTCTGTCCTACACTGTTAACGAACATACATTATGTATTCTCGCAATTGATATTTATTACTTTCTTTACGCTATTCTTTATTATACTGGTAATTTTTTTTGAGCATCCATATTTATCTTACATCTGTCCTGTCTACGATTTCACAGAAAATATTGATTACTTACAACCATATTAATCGGACTTACATTTAAACTTTCAGTTTTAAAATTGTCTTTTGTAATCTATCTATCGATATATATATATATATATATATATATATATATATATATATATATATATCGAAGCTTTTTTATATCAATCCATGTCTACGATTTCACAGAAAATATTGATTACTTACAACCATATCTCTCTCTCTCTCTCTCTATCTATATATATATATATATATATATATATATATATATATATATATATATATATATATATATATATATATATATATATATATATATATATATATATATATATATATATATATATATATATATATATATATATCGTGAAGTTTTATATCAATCCATTAATTGTTAATGTCAAGAAAGCGAATTGTAATTTTTCCTCTTTTTATTTAATTTCTCTTCTTTCCATTATTGAAGGCCCCCAGGAACAGACGGCCCATTTCCGGCAATAATTATTTCAGAGATTCGCCTACTCCAATTCACATCTTTATTTTTTCACGACGGATTATTCTTACAAGAGGCTGGTGGGACGAACTGACAAGGCAAACGATAAAATGGCCGACCATTAGCATCTTTCTCGCCTCTCCTTTCAGTCTTTTAATGGAAGTTATAAAAACAGGCCAGGCTCGTTGGAAAATGTTGGTTTTTGCCTAGTCGCTGAGTTAAACTAAGAAAATATAACTCTTTGCTAGAACAGGCATCAATTCGATTGCTACATCTTCTATCATGATTCGGAAAATATCTCGGATGATTTAAAAGTTAACAATTCAGATTTGAGTAACGATATTTTTGCAGGCGAAGGTGTTAGATTTACTTCTTCGTCTGTCTTGTTATCCTTCTTAATGTTTTATAGTTTTTTCTTCTTTACGGTCTTCCGATTATATCTTTCTTTCTATCTTTTTCGTAATAATTTTTCTTTTTTTTAATCGTTGCTTAGACTTGCGTTTTCACAAATTCTTTTCTCGAGGCAAATGTTATCATTGTTCCTTCTGTCATTTCGTCAATTCTTTATTGATTTTCGGCCCATTCCTTTCTTTCTTTCTTTCTCTCTTTCTTTCTTTTTTCTTTTCTTTTATATTCACATTTCTTTCTTTCTTTATTTTCTCTATATTTCTTTCTTTTTCTCTATCTTTCTTTCATATTTCCTTTTTCCTTTCTTTCGTTTTTCATACTTTGTTTCTTTTTCCTGACCTTCTTCTTTTTTTCTTTCTTTTCTCTCCATTTCCTTCTTGATTGATTTTCTCCATATTTCTTCCTCTCGTTCTAATTCTTTATTTTCTCCACCTTTCTTTCTTTCTTTCTTTCTTTCTTTCTTTCTTTCTTTCTTTCTTGTCGTCACATGTCTTTCTTTCTTTTCTTCATATATTTTTTGTTACTTTCTTTGATTCTTTTCTCCACATATCTTTTTAAATTATTTCTTACTTTCTATCTTACTTTTTTCTTTTCTCGATATTTTTCCTTTTATTTCTGTCTTACATTCTTTTCTCCATATTGCTTTCTTTCTTCTTTCTTTTCTCTATATTTTTTTTTTTTTTTCTCTATTAGTTTCTTCGTTCTTTTTATCTCCATGTTTCTTTCTTTCTTTTTTTTTCTTTCGTTTCCCCACATTTTTTTTTCTTTCTTTTCTCTACACTCCTTTCTTTCTTTTCTTCTTCTTACTTTCTTTCGTTTCTCCACATGTCCTTCTTTCTTTCCTTCTTTCTTTTTTCTCTAGATTTTTCCTTTTATTCTGTCTTACATTCTTTTCTCCATATTGCTTTTTTTTTATTTTTTTTCTCGTACTGTTTTCTTTTATTCTATATTTGTTTCTTCGTTCTTTTTTATCTCCATGCTTTTTTTTTTCTTTTCTTTCTTTCTTTTTTTCTTTCTTTTCTTTCTTTTTCTTTTCTTTCTTTCTTTCTTTCTTTCTTTTCCCTACATTTTTTTTTTTTTCTTTCTTTTCTCTACATTCCTTTCTTTCTTTTCTTCTTCTTACTTTCTTTCGTTTCTCCACATGTCCTTCTTTCTTTCCTTCTTTCTTTTCTCTAGATTTTTCCTTTTATTCTGTCTTACATTCTTTTCTCCATATTGCTTTTTTTCTTTCTTTTCTCGTACTACTTTCTTTTATTCTATATTTGTTTCTTCGTTCTTTTTATCTCCATGTTTCTTTCTTTCTTTCTTTCTTTCTTTCTTTCTTTCTTTCTTTCTTTCTTTCTTTTCCCTACATTTCTTTTTTCTTTCTTTTCTCTACATTCCTTTCTTTCTTTTCTTCTTCTTACTTTCTTTCGTTTCTCCACATGTCCTTCTTTCTTTCCTTCTTTCTTTTCTCTTTATTTTTTTTCTTTTTTTCATATTTATTTTTAATTTTTCCTTTTCTCCACATGTTTTTTAAATTATTTCTTAATTTATTTCTATCTTAATTTCTTCTTTTCTCGATATTTCTTTCTTCTTTTTTTTCGCAATATTTGTTCTTTCTTTCTTTCTTTCTTTCTTTCTTTCTTTCTTTTATTCACATTTCGTTCTTTTATCCACATTTAGTTTTCCCTATATTTCTTTCTTTTGTTTCTGTTTCTTCGTTTCTATTTTCTATATTTTCTTGTTTCTTTCTCTCTTTCATTCCTTATTTTCTCCACATTTTTTCTTTCTTTTCTTCATATTTCTTTGTACATTTTCTTTTTCCTGATATCTTTTTATTTATTCTTACCTTCTTTCTATTTTCTTTCTTCTTTTTTCGATATGTTTAGTTCTTTCTTTCTTTCTTTTTCTTTCTTTCTTACTCCACATTTCTTTTTCTCTCCATATTTCCTTTTTCTTTTACCCAATTTCATTTTTTATTCTTTCTTTCTTTCTTTCTTTCTTTCTTTCTTTTATCCACGCTTCTATCTTTCTTTCTTTCCCATAATTTACTTCTCTTTCCCTAATTTCACCTAACATGTATTTTTCTTTGTTTAATTTGTTTTAAATAATTTAATTTCTTTTCGTTTCATCATTTTATAATTTTTCTTTTCTTATTTTCTTTTCTTGAACTTTCTCCCTTATTTTCTTCGGCTTTGCTTATTTTATTTTGCCTCCTTGTTCTTTCGCCTTTCTTTCTTGCTTTCTTTTTATTTTTTTCTTTCTTTCTTTCCGTTTTAACTTCGTTCATCTTCGTTGTCCGCCATCATCTTTTTTACTTTTTGTCTTTATTTATTTCATTCTCATCTGTCTTCTTTTCTTTTAATAATACATTTTAAATTCTTTTCTCGTTTTAGGCCTTATATCCCAAAGCTGGTTAAAACCGCCGAAATACAATGGCGTTACACTCGCTTCCGACCTGACAGTTACTAACATTTTTCATGTTCTTGTAAAATCTCAAATCTCCCGAATGTACACAGTCTTACGTAATCTAATCTCAATGATCTACACGAGAAGATGTGTACATAGGTGGATAAAAACCTATACATATGTAGCCAAATCAAACATATTTCGAATGACAGTCTCAAGATAGAATACATTTTTAAAAACATCATTTAGTAAATGAAGCCATATAAAAGGTCATTTTCTGAGCAGAAGAGATTGCTGAAGAAAAAAATATCTAAACTGAAAACTTCTTATGACGCAAGTAGATGACAATTCGTGTGATTAATGAACAGGGGTGCGGTCTACAGTCACGCTGAAGGGATCGTTATTTCTGAAAGTTCTTCAGATTTCTTTTTTAAAAAGAAAAAACCTGTTCAGCGAAGGAAAAGAGAAAATAAAAGAGGGAAAACGATCGGAATATTCCATGCGAAGAAACGTTAATGCTGTATCTTTGGGCGCAAAAATTGGAACTTCCCTTTACATTAGCGATGTTCAAGATGCTTGTAAAAAATGACTGAACGTTTGCGAATTAGATGTATTATTTCGTAACATCAGGTGAAATTTTGCGAACATTTCCCAATAGATTCTCACATAACTAATCACATTCGCACACATACATGTATACAGTAATGTAACGTTGAGACTGGCTGGCTAGTTATCTATCTATCTATCTATCTATCTATCTATCTATCTATCTATCTATCTATTTTATATGTGTATTCAAGTATCTATCTATCTATGCATCTATCTATCTATCTATCTATTTTATATGTGTATTCAAGTATCTATCTATCTATCTATTTTATATGTGTATTCAAGTATCTATCTATCTATCTATCTATCTATCTATCTATCTATCTATCTATCTATTTTATATGTGTATTCAAGTATCTATCTATCTATCTATCTATTTTATATGTATATTCAAGTATCTATCTATCTATCTATTTTATATGTGTTCAAGTATCTATCTATTCTATCTATCTATCTATCTATCTATCTATCTATTT